GTGAGAAGGACTGAGAATGAATATATGGAATGTGGATGAAAAAGGGGATCTGTGGAAAGTAAGGTTAAATTCCTAACTGGGCAGGTCATGGTAGGTAGACATGCCCCAGGCCTATAATTTCAGTGAAAGGTTTTGAAACCAGCCATGTTTATTATTCTTGTGCATCTAGGTTAATACACCTTCGAAATGCCAGAAGTATAGCAACAGAAAACACATAATCCTGTAATCCGATCATGTCTTGCTTTCTCCCACCCTCTTGTAATATTCTTTATGTTCTTGCCTTAATTGCAAATGCATAAAAGAAACTGCAAAACTGTTACTCTCAAGAGCATTTGAGATCTTGCTCTCTGGCATATTTTGTCAGGTTGGCCTAAATAAACTCATAAAAATTCTCTGCAGACTTGACTGTTTCTCATGTCAACAGGGGCAACTGGAAAATATCCAACATACCCAAAAAGAAAAATAGGAACTTCTTGTCTATGCATAATGTGTCCATTAATTTTCATTTGAAATAATGTTCTTAGGTAATTTGAATCAGGAGGTGGGGTGTGTGAGAATGTTCATAACCACCCACAGGAAAAAGTTTTGAGTTTTATCTTATTTTAAACAAAATTTCCCATCACAGAAGCGCTTCAACAGGTTGGCTGTGTTTGGGGTGTGCTTACTGGATGTTTCTTAGCATGAAGGCAGCTAACATAGACAGCACCCGGATAGGTGTGATCAAAGAGATCCATCAGATTGGCCCCACCGTGTTCACAAACCCGCAGGAGTAGCCACCACGAGAGCAGCTCTGTTTTGAAGTGCTGCACAGCTTCTTGAAGCTCAGCTCACTTTGCCAACACTCTGAGAGCCACACAGCGCAGAGCCTGTAACAATGAGGTTTCTTCCCTCCTCAGCTGAGAAGCCTGTTCTTTCAGACTGGCCCAGTTTGCTTTATATGAGTCCTAGGCAGAGAAGCTCCAACTTTGTTAGTGCATATGAATGAAAACAAATCACTTGGAATAAAACTGGTTAAAACTGCAGATTCTAATTTAGGAGGTCTGAGGAGGGTCCAAAGAAAATTTCTGACAAACTCCAAGCTATGCACAAGCTGTGTTTCTGTACCAAGCTTTCAGTAGCAAAAACCTGAATGTATATCACTGGCTCGTAACTTGCTGCACATTATAATGCCCTGGAGGGCTTTTATTTTTATTTTTTATTTTTTAAATGGATTTGAGCCTGGCCAATGTGGCTCAGTGGTTGAGCATCAACCCATGCACCAAGAGGTCGCTGGTTCGATTCCCAGCCAGGGCTACTCCATCCATTCATGCATTTGTCTGCTGTTTCCTGCATGTGCCCTGACTGGGGATGGAACCCGCAAACTTGGCGTATTAGAACGATGCTCCAACCAACTGAGCTACCCAGCCAGGGCTGGCATGCAGATTGTTTGAAGTGAAGGCAATTAAGACCCAGCAGAATCTGGAAGAGCTTTTTACCTCCCACTTAGGGAGGGGGCCTGTACCAGAAAGAGCTATTGCCAGAGGTAATTTCTTTATCTGATAGATATACCTGTTTGGCTAAGTGTCTGCTCGTCCCATCTTCCTGTGAACTTCCCTCCTCCCCTCTGAAGCCCCAGGTCCTTATCCCATTCCTCAGCTCAGGATAGCATAAAAGCCTCAATTGCCCCACTGCTTTTGAACCTCATGTCTCTGTGGGGCTCTTGCACATATGACATTAATTGGTTTTTCTCCTGTTAATCTGTTTTATGTCAATTAAATTATTAGGCCAGCCAAAGAAACTGGGAGGGAAGAAGGGGAAAATTTCCAACCCCTACAGGAACAATCCCCAAGACAGGAAACCTTGAAGTTATCCTCAATTCCTCTTTTATCTCTATTCACTACCCCACCTCACCCCTTTGCCCTAATCCAAACCATCAGAAAATCTTGTTCACTCTTCTTCCAAAATGCATCACAAACCAACCCAACTCCACACAACTCCAGCTCCACACACTTTGCCCAGGTCCTGGTCTCTCTTTTCTGAAATGCATTTCTGCAATGATGCCCTAATTGGCCTCCCTGCTTTCCCACATGACCCCATAATAGACTTTCCCTCAGCAACCTCAAATGCCTTAACCTGGTCCCTGTCCATCTCTGACAACATCTCTAACACTATCACTCTCATCCAGTCACTGCAGCCTCCCTTCTGGACCTGATCAGCCAAGTCAGTTATACCTCACCTCCGAGCCTTTGCAGCTACTGTTCCCTCTGCCTGCAATGCTCCTCTCCCACATCTTCAAGAGTGTAGTAGCCTTTCTTCATTCAGTTTAAATGGTACCTTCTCAGACAAAAGGATGAAATTGTTTCAATGGTATCTATTGATAAAAGAGCATGAGATTTACAGTCATTGCCTTCCGACTTATATGTTACCTTTAGAAACAAAATTCTGAAGTTTCCAGACTACTAAGATTAATCAGTGAAGTTTTAAGATATGATGAAAACAGAGAACTGAGGATTCTCCTAAAAAATCTTCCTATTTATTTCTCTGCACAGCACTCATTTCCTGAAATTTTCTCATATCGTTGTCTTTTCCTGTCCAGGAGGTGGCGCCTGTATCTGTCGGCGATTGTGTTTTCAGGACCCTGGACAACGCCTGGCGTATAGCACAGCACATGCTCAATGAATGTGCTGACCGATTGTCATAAACTTACATGCACCTCTGCACTCAGCAGTTTTAAAATATATAAGGCAAATATTATCCTACAGACAATCAAAGTGGGAGACCAACCCACCTCCCTTAGAAACATACCAAGCAAGGAGCAAAAACTACAGAACTTTTTAACCTAAAGATAGATTAATGAGGGCTTTTACCATCTATATTTCTGAATTAAAAAATAAACATGTATTAATTTTAGAAAAGGGATTATATGTTGTTTTATTTAATTACCCTCCAAACTTAAAAAAAAATCTTTTGGTATGGTTTTGAAGAACTGGACACAACTATTCAAGGGGGTTAAGTGTAACCCGATATGGAAGGGTGGGCGGAAGGAAGGTGCATGGCATGAGGTGATAGGCCAGGCTGAATTCTCTCGCTCAGTGGGGACTAGTTTACAATAGAGTGACTAGAAGGTGTAGACACAGAGAAAAGAACCAAGGAGAAGACAACCATCTACAAGCCAAGGAGAGAGGTCTCAGGAGAAACCAACCTTGCTGACAGCTCAACCTCAGACTTCTAGCCTCCATAACTGTGAGAAAATAAATTTCTGTTATTATAGCTAGAAGAAGAAGATGTAGGTTTAGAATGAAAAAATGGAAGAGCTCCAAGGACAGATGCAGGTATTCTCTAGTTCTCATATGTGAAGGGAATTTAGAAATTCCCTGGAGGGCCCTGGCCAGGTTGGCTCAGCAGTTAGAGCATCGGCCTGTGGACCAGAGAGTCCCGGGTTCAGTTCCTGCTAAGGGCACGTATCTCAGTTGCAGTTTGTCCCCAGCCCTGGGTGGGGTTGTGTGGGTGGCACTCGATGTGTCTTTTTCACATCGATGTTTCTCTCTCTCTCTTCCTCGCTCTCTCCCTCCCGCTCTATCTGAAGATAAATGCAAAAATGTCCTCTGGTGAGGATAAAAAAAAAGAAATTTCCTGGAGTATCAGGGCTTGGCTTCTCCTTGGGTCTCTTCAATAGAGATAAAAAATGTATCACCTGTTCTCTAATGTAGTGAAAGAAAAGGATCATCGGGGGACATTTTGGTGGCTTAGGGGCACACAGATTCTATACATCTAAACTAGAGATAGCATCACGGGTTTTTTTGTTGTTGTTGTTGTTGTTAATTCACTATAGTTTTTAACAGGAAATAACCTGAACTGAAATAATGACACCTCTCCCTCAAATGGGTATCTCTCCACATATTGTTCCCTCTATCAGGAATGCTCTCTCCTCTCCCCCTAAATGTCTAAATGCTACTTCAAGGCCCAACTCAATGCTGTTCTCTTTGAGGCTGCCTCTGATCTCTTTCAAAATCAATCCCTCCCTTAGCTCTTTGAATTTCTTATGTTGGGACACATACTGCTTTTTGCTAATCCCGGGTATCTACCTGCCTGCCCCTTGCCCTTGACATTTCTGAAGTTCAGTCTTGCTCCCCTCTCCCTCCTAGAATTCAAAATTTCTTGCATAAATGTCTTGGTTATGTTTGTATGGTACTTAATCGGACATGTCAAAGCTCACAACTTACCTCATTGAATGCTTCCAAATCTGAGGGATAAGCAGCCACTGATAGTTGTTGTTGTTGCTTTTCTCCATTTCACAAATAAAGAAACTTAAGACGCAGTGGATACATAACTTGCCCAAGGTCACAAAGCCCATCTGGTAAGTGGCAGACCAGGGGTCTGTCATACTCACAGGCTGGAAAATCCAATCTACGTTTGAGATGCTTCTGGAAGAATTTGGATTTCAAATCTTAAGTCTAACAATACCCATAATCTGAAAGATTACAACCAATAGTGTAAAGCTTATGTCCAAGATCAAAGCTGTGCCTTAGGAGAAACAAGGTCGCAGACCCTGGCTCAGAAAGAGACAAAGTCTCTGCTATGGGAGGCGGAAGACCTCGATTCCTGTAGAACAGGATGGTGGCGGCCGGAGTAGCGACTCTAAGTATCCTTCGTGCAGTCCACGAGTCCTTGCTAACAACTGTGGTGGCTGGGAGCTGGGAGCGCTCCTTTCATTTCGCAGATCTGCAGCAGGTAGGGCCGGCGGCCCAGCTGGAGGTCCGGTGAGGCAGCTGGGTCAGGAGGACAGGGCCGGGCGGAGACTAAGCCAGAAGAGAATACAGGGAGTATAGTGGCCGTCTCTCCGAAGACCGCTCGGGTAGAACCCTGGGGAAGGACGCACCGAGAGCCTGGGCCTTACTGGGCGGGGAGGCAGGGGCCTGCGTTACCACCTAACGCCGTCGCACGGGCGCTGGGATGCCCCGAAGGTCCCTGCCGCTCTCTGGGCCAGTGTTTCCATCTGTGTCACGAGGGAGCGTCAATACCAGCGCACAACGGGCGGGGGCAGCCCGGGACCGCAGTTCCTAGTCCGGGGACCGGGAGCTGACACGCCCACCAGCACCGCCAGCCCGGCTCGCGCGTCACCAGCAATCGCCTCGGCCTCGTTCCGAACAAAAGATTCGCCGGAAGCGAGATCCTCTGGGGTCTTCGGATCCTTGCAGCAACTTCCCATTCCGTCTAGGAAGCTCGGAGGCCTGAGCATCTCGGTGGTGTCCTCGCCTGGGATTGGCTCCCCCAAATCCAATCGAATCACCGGGTCCCTAAGACCTGAGGTTTAAGACAATGGGCCCCCTCCCGGAGTCTACCGTGAGGCCTTGTTTTGTGACCATCGCAGACCCTATTTGTGCCGGTGACAGGACTTGGCACACCGTTAGCAGGAGGAAATCTGAGAGGAATTAAAGAACAGGAATGAATGAGGGTCAGAGAGAGAGAGAGAGAGAGAGCATCTTGCAGTAGAAAGAAGAGGAGGAGGAAACTCTATACACCTAAATTCAAAGCTTTCCTTGCCCTTTTCAATCAGTAAAATGTTACCCAGCTAGCTGGATGTTTGTCAAGCCTCAGAATCCTAACATGAAAATGAATGATCCTGTCTTCCAGGGGTACTGGGATTGCAAAAAAGATAAACAGATAGAAGGGATGTCCCTATCTCTTTCTGTCCAAGCTCTTCATTATAGCTAGTAATCACAGGCAACTTTCTACAACTCAGCTAATATTGTAACGTGTCAGTGAGAAAACCAGAGATGCACAGTTGAATTGTAAAGGAGCACTTTACTCACCGGTGGGTTGCGGGGACTCTCCCCAAATCACAGCCCAAGTTTCCTTTGTTTTTTGCTTATATAGGCACAAACTACAGGAAAAAACTACATTAAAGAAACCTACATTCTTCTTGGCGCCCCTTAATTGGTGCCGGGACTGATACAGACTGCTCCAGAGGGGGGCGGGGGGGGGGCGGGATTCTGTTGCAGGGGTCAGGGCAATCATTAATCTCTTTCTTTTTATGGTCCCTCTGAGTTTCCCAAGGCCATCCTTAACACCCTTATCTTTATAGTTCCTCTAGGGTTCAGTCCCAGGGTGTTTTAGAAAACTGCTCAGGTGTTTACGTGCAGGAATAACTAGTCAGAATGGAGTTTAATTTTAAAAAGCCCAGCTCATTAAGTCTTGTTTCCCAGATCCTTGCGTTTTCTACATAGTAGGCAGCCAGAACTGGAGGACAACACATAGTTAGGGAAACCTGATAACCAGAGCTTAAAACATTTGGCCTGGCCTCATGAGATTTCCTGATCAAGAACCCCAAGTAACAGAGGCCTTAATGGATCAACACACCACATCCAATTGCAATGTCAGGCAGAAACTAAGACCAGATAGTCAACACCTCCCCATGAGGTTTCCAACGTAGAGGATGACCTGTATATCAGATGGTCACTCATTAGGCTAAGTGTGCAAAGACTGGTTTAAGAAACTTCCTCTAGCCTGGCTTGTGTTGGTCAGTGGATGAGCGACAACCTATGCACCAAGAGGTTGCCGGTTCAATTACCTGGCAGGGTACATGCCCAGGTTGTGGGGCCCAATCTCCAGTGGGGGCATGCAGGAGGCAGCCAATCATTGTTCTCTCTCATCAATGTTTCTTTTTTTTTTTTATCCTCACCCGAGGACATTTCTCCATTTTTTGTTCAGACCAGAGTGGGAGGGAGAGGAAGAGAGAGAGAGACAGACACATCGACGTGAAAGGGACACATTGAGTGGCTGCCACCCGCACCACACAAGCAACCAGGGCTGGGGACAAACTGCAACCGAGGCACACACCCTTAGCGGGAATAGAACCCAGGTCTCACTGGACCGCAGGCCGACGCTCTAACCGCTGAGCAAAACTGTCCAGGGCTAATTTTTTTCTTTGTTAATTTTAGAAAGACAGGAAGGGTGAGGGAGAGAGAGATGGAAACATCAATGAGAAAGAACATCAATTGGCCGCCTCCTGCATGGCCCCCACTGGGGATCGGGCCCACAACCTGGGCACATGCTCTGACCGGGAATCAAACCGGCAACCTCTTGGTGCATGGATTGATGCTCAACCATTGAGCCACACCAGCCGGGCTCATCAATGTTTCTATCTCTCTCTCCCTCTCCCTTTCTCTCTCTCTAAAACCAATAAAGAAAAAAAAATATTACAAAAAAGAAGAAGAAAGAAACCTCCTTTAAACCTGTGAAACTCTGTAACAGGTTTTCTGATATCTTTGTTTCCATCCTGGCTTATGCAGAGACATGAGGGATACATGTCAGTGGTCCAGAGGTTGGCCCACCTGAACACTCTGGAATATTGTTCAACCCTGAACAGCCCAGGAAACTGTTACTTTAGACCTTGTAAGGACCTACCTGCTGGGCAACAATGAGATATGAGAAATAGATAGTTTACTCCATTGGAAAGTGGCTCATCTTTTCCTTTACTCTTCACCCGTGGCCATGACACCCAGAAGTTGTGCCTCTGGGGCCTGCTCAGTCATGTTAGCAGCAGGCAACTGGTCATATCATTCTTCAAGGTGAAGTCCACCTGGTACTATACCTGTCTCTCTAGACAATTGTATCTAGATTATGTTGTCCCCATACCGTCCCACTTTTTATCAGCTCCGTGGCCACCAGAGTGTGGGTGCTGTTTTAGGAAAGATTAACCACATCTATAGGCCAAAATATCACAGTCTTTGAGACTGTTTCCTCATTAGTAAGATGGAGATGTCTACTGCTCACTTCATTGAGACTCAGATTGGGTGAAAATGCCCTGAGCATCACATATTGCAGTGATTCTCAATCTTTTTCATTTCACAGCACACATAAACGAATTACTAAAATTCTGCAGAGTGTGTGTGTGTGTGTGTGTGTGTGTTGTTTTGGCTGTTGTCATTTTTCTGTTTGACAACCTAAGGGAAAAGAGGTCAGTGCCCATGACTAAATAGGTAATGCATGTTTTAAAATCTCTTGCACACAAGTTGGAAAACACTGAGGTACAATATAAGAACTGACTGAATGCTCAGGATATGCCAGGCCTTTTGCTATCTCGTGTCTGTATGGTACCCATTTCAGCGCTCATAGTCCCATGAGGCAGGCGCTTGCTCTGCCTTTTTTAGATGGTTGGGTATCACACTCAGAGGTTGGGTATCTTTCCCAAGGCCACCCGGAGGGGAAGGGGCAAGCCAGGGTGCCGTCTGGTCGCCCAGACCTTGAACGGTCTCAGAGCGGCAAATGCAGCCTCAGGTCTCATTTGAGTCCCTGCTCCGCTCCGGGGCGGTGGCAGGCTCGGCCTGGGAACCAGTAGTCCCGGAACCAAGTTGCCAGCACGCTCCCGGGTGCGGGGGCGCGCAAGCCCACCTCCAACGCTGAGACTTCCGGGTTCCTGGAGCAGCCGGAAGCGGGGCCTCTGTCTCTTCCGGCCCCGGCTCGGCCATTGTTTTTTGCATCTGCGGGCCGCAGCGGAGTCCTGTGCCCGGCGTCGCCGCAGCGGTGCTTCCATTGAGCGGGCCGGGGGCGGGGAAGGAGGTGCTGCTGGGGCCGGGGTCGTTAGGCTGGAGCCAAGGCCGCCCACGGCCCAAGGCGGCGACGCTGGCCGGGCGCACGCTTCGCCCCCGCGGCCGGCGGCGCCGTCCCTGTGACGCTCAGAAGCGGCCAGATGTCGAGCCTCCTCTTTGTCGCGTTCCCCTGACCAGCTGTCCTGGCGCGGAGCCGGGCGCCTGCGGGTGCAGCGGTGAACAGGGCCGACGCGGCCAGGTGAGCGGCGTCGCAGACGCCGGGTCGGACAGCCTTGCTCTGGGACACAAGGCCGAGCGTCGGAAGTGGGTCAGGCGCTATCGGGATCTCACACGTGGAGTGTGACTTGGACACGCAAAAATCCAGATGAGATAGCTGCTGAGCCTTCGGAACAGTAAAGGAAGTAGGAAAATGGCCATACTTTATACATGTTTGGGATCTGAAAGCTCACAGATTATGTTTAAGTCCATCTTCTTTTTAAAGAAGTTGAGACCTAGAGAGAAATAGCTTACCCAGGGTCCCCAGATGCATGGTGAATTGGAAGAAAGCACAGATGCCCTAGTTACCACTAAAGTGCTGATTTTCAAAAATTTACCATATATCAACTGAATAAAAGTTTTACCCCTACTTCAGTATCAGCTAAATGAACCACATTCATTCGTTTACCAAACGTGTGTTTTTGTGTGCCATGTACAGATATGTGCAAAGATGACTGGGAACCAGCCCTGCCCTCTTGAGTCCACCCAGAAAGTGGGGGAGACAGCCATGTAAGCCACAAACACAGTGTGTGTAGTGCTCTAGCAGAAGTTTGAATGAGAAGGTGCCTGGTCTCACAGAGGCAGTAAGTAACCACACTTAAACCTGGAGAGATCAGGAAGGTTTTTAGGGAAAGTAGGTTGAGGAGAAAAAGGTCTGGCTTTTTTTTTTTTCCAATCCACCCGAGGACATGCTTTTATTGACTTGAGAAAGGTCAATGTAAGAGAGAAACATCAACTGATTGGTTCCCATATAGAACCCAAAACCCAGGCATGTGCCCTAATCAGGAATCAAACCCACTCCCTCTCAGTCCATGGGACAACTCCCTACCAACTGAGTCACACTGGCCAGGGCACAGAGGTCTAGCATTTTCTGACTCCGTAGGGTTCCTTTCCTTTGGTAGCCATCCAGCAGTTTGGAGGGTGTGAGTGTCGAGTTGTATGTAAACTAAAGTACTGTGTTATAGTGAGAGGGTTAGAGAAGGAGGCTGCCAGCTCTCCTGTATGAGGCAGTCAGGAAAGCTTTCAAGAGAAAATGGCATTTGGGTCTTGAAAGATGAGTAGGAGTTTGTCAAAAGTTGAAAAGAAAAATCTAAATGGAAAGAGTACGCTAGCTGTGTGTCTAGAGCTTTAGTCCCAGACTTTATTGTGCATCTCTCTGAATGGAAAAGGGTAGAAGAGTGTTGATTATGCACTTCCAACACAGGTTTATTTGTAAATTAAAGATACGTGCTATTTGCCCTGGCCGGTTTGGCTCAGCGGTTGGAGCGCCGGCCTGCGGTACAGAGAGACCCGGGTTCGGTTCCCGCTAAGGGCACGTGCCTCGGTTGCAGTTTGTCCCCGGCCCTGGTTGGTCGTGCCGGTGGCAGCCACTCGATGTGTCCCTTCACATCGATGTTTCTCTCTCTCTCTCTTCCTCTCTCTCCCTCCCGCTCTATCTGAACAAAAAATGGAAAAATGTCCTCGGGTGAGGATAAAAAAAAAAAAAGAGATACGTGCTATTTTACACATTTAATGCACATTATAAAACATGTGCTAAATAGGAGTTAAATAATAACAGTGTTTTCCTATGCACCCTTTGAATCATTTTGCATTTCGCACATTTGGAAATCATTGTTATCTTTCTAGCCTTGGTATGTGGGGAGAGTGGTAAGGAGTGGCTAGAACAGAAGGCTAAAACCATGTTGTGAAGGGCTGTGAATGCTAGGTATAGGTATTTAGGTTTTATCTTATAGGGAGCCACTGAAAGTATAAGAAGGTAAGTCATGTGGAAAGATGCTTAGAGAGATGGCCCTCGTCGTGCTCTCTCTTTTTTTCTGGAGCTTTGCTTCCAACTATTTTTTTTTCTTTATTGATTTTTAGAGAGAGAGGGAGTGAGAGAGAAAAACATCGATGAGAGAACATCGATTGGCCACCCCCACACGCCCCTCCTCCCCCATCGGAGATCAGGCCCACAACCTGAGCATGTGCCCGAACAGGAAGCGAATCGGCGATCTCTGGGTGCATGGGTCGATGCTCAACCACTGAGCCACACCAGCTGGGCTGGAGCTTTGCTTTTTAAATGTGGAGGGTCTGTCATCAGCTTGGGGCTGAACACTCCGAGGACTCTGATTTCTCTCTTGATGTTTCTATAGGTGACACTCCCCTCACCCCACACCCCAACTCTGAAAAGCAGCTCCTGAGACCTGAATTACAGACCATCATTTTAATTGGATAACCTGCTGCTGGAACAAGCTTCTCTTTGGGGTCACAATGGCCACCCAAGGCAGAGGAGCTTTAGGCCTCATCCCCAGGGTTGCTGTTCTCCAGGAGCAGGAGGGGCACCTAACAGTAAAGCCAGAGCCAGGGAGCCAGACCTGGGGGCAGGGCTGCAGTCTCCAGAAGAACCATCCACCTGTTTGTGAAATTTTCCGGCTACACTTCAGGCAGTTATGTTACCACGAGATGTCTGGGCCACAGGAGGCGCTGAGCCGACTTCGGGAGCTCTGCCGCTGGTGGCTCATGCCAGAGGTGCACACCAAGGAGCAGATCCTGGAGCTGCTGGTGCTGGAGCAGTTTCTGAGCATCCTGCCCGGCGAGCTCCGGACCTGGGTGCAGCTACATCACCCCGAGAATGGCGAGGAAGCTGTGGCTGTGGTGGAGGATTTCCAGAGACACCTCAGTGGACCAGGAGAGGTGAGCAGTTGATTCTAGAATGGCATCTAGAACCATTCTCTAGTGCTTAGATTACCCTGGGAATAGGCATTCTTCATTCCTTAGGCCCTAGGCTGGTTTGCCCTTAAGATTCCTGAGCCAGTCATGGATAGAGAGGAAATAGTTTTGTGCTCCAAGCCATAAACAAAAATGTAAATTGCAGCCAAGCTGTGAATCACTTTGTGAAATAGTGTTCCGTGAGCTCGGCTCCCACCTGGAGATCCACACAGCGCTCCTGGCAGGTAGAAGATCTGCACGTTGGTCAGAATACAGGACCATGGCAGCCAGATAAACCTCAGGTACGCTGATAACATGGGCCCTCATTTGAGAAGTTTTCATGCCATGACCGGTTTGGCTCAGCGGTTAGAGTGTCGGCCTGTGGTCCAGAGAGACCCAGGTTCAGTTCCCACTAAGGGCGCGTACCTCAGTTGTAGTTTGTCCCCAGCCCTGGTTGGGTTGTGCAGGAGGCAGCCACTCGATTCGTCCCGTCGATGTTTCTCTCTCTCTCTCTTCCTCTCTCTCCCTCCCACTCTATCTAAACAAAAAATGGAAAAAGGTCCTCGGGTGAGGATTAAAAAAAAAAAAATGAGAAGTTCTCATTGCTCCCTTCCTCGGACTGCTCAGAGTTAATTCTCTCTCTTCCTGCCTTTTAGTTTCCTTATGAGAGGTGACATTTCTGGGCCTCATAAACATTTTTTCCTTTTCCAGCTGGGTTCTTTTGCTTCTCTAACTCTAACTTCATTTTTCTCCAATTTCCCTGGGTTCTCTCAAATTTAAAGCCAAGGTAATTCAAATTAGAGGAAAAGCTGGAGAGTAAAAATTGTGATAACGGAGAAATCTGGCTTTTAGAAATCGAACTAGCTCAGTGACCATTTGTATCAGTCAGGTTTCAACCAAAGAAAAAAACAGTAGAAATAAAAATTTTGTTCCTGTATTTTTATATATTTATATGTATATTATTGCTAGAAAGTGGCTTGGGTGATTATGGGAGCTAGCGAGGCAAGTCTGAAATTTGTAGGGCAGGCGAACTGGAAGGGCTGGCTGAAACGTAGGCAGAATTTCTTCGTGGAATCATCAGCTCTGAATTTTAGGCCTTACACCTGATTACACCAGGCCCATCCAGATGATCTAGAATGCTAAAGTAAACTGATTATAGACTTTAGTCGCATGTATGAAATACCATCACAGCAACAGCTAGATTAGTGCTAAATTGACACATGGAAAGACCATCACACCATCAATAAGCCAGTTCCTCCCAATGAGTCTCAAATTGCTTCCTTATAACTGAGCAGGGTGAATGAGGGTCCCCTCTATGTTTACACCTTTGCAGTTTACCAGGAAAAAGCAGTAAATGAAATTTCCTGAGTACCCATCACATAATTTTATTTATTGCTTTTTAAAATAATGATTACATATCTATGCCCAGGGAATCAGTTCCAGTTGATTGGAGTCCTAGGGCTAGACCTTTTACCAGGAGTACTAGCCAGTGCCTATTCGGCTTTATCAAATACATTGTCAGCCAATATCTCCTTGTGTAAACAGGTAAACACCCAATAAATCAGCCATCACTGAGGTCTAGAGAGCAAGTAGCAAGTAGGCCCAACCATGGGCAAAGACAAGTGTCTGAAGAACTGTTTAGAGGGCCATTTTATGAAGAGGGTGGAAGAAAAATTTTCCTATTTCCTACTTCCTTTTGCTTTAAGATGAATAAAACACTCCCTCCATTAAAACACAGTCTTTTTTTCCCAGGGAGCCTCAGGAAAAAGCGACTGAGTCACAAATCCAAGAGAGTGACTAACAGCTGACTGTCATGGCTCCAGCCTAGGAGTGGGGTCTTTGGACTCCATTTCTTACTCTGCCACTTGGTCAGCTTAAGTTTTCTAACGTGAAGACATGAGAGCAGGGCTATCTCTCGTAGCACAGGCTCATAACATGTATTTATGGCTAAATGAATAAACAAGCGTTCTCACGGCAGTTTGCCAGGGGAGATTAAGGAATATCAGGGCAGGTCAGAGTCAGTCTGCTTAGCAAGAGGGAGCACGTGTGCGTGTGCACATTGGGGCTAGAAAGGGTTGTGAAGTAATCCTTGCTGGGCTGCAGAATCATGCAGCTTGCAAACTACTTTTATATCCTTTTATTTTAGCTCCTAGCAGGCTTGCAAATATGCAGATAGTAATCACTATCTCCATTTGACAAGTGACACAAGCACAGAGGTTAATTGACTCATCCAAGATGACAGAACTAGTAAGCGTTCCTTTGTCCCTGAGACAGCCAAAGTGTGGTTACTGCTGATACCATCAAGTGTGGGAACCAAGATTTTCCAGCTCCCTGGGTCCAAGCTCCTAGTTTCCCCTGGTGTCTTGCTGTGGAATGCCATCTTAGAATGAAAACTAAAATGGGGATTTCATGCCTGTGAGGAAAGGAAACCTGTGAATCCTAGATAACGAACAGGAACTGTGCCGGGATGTAATTGCTGGTGAATTATACAGTTTTTTTGTCACTGTACAACTAAGTTCCATCTTCTGCCAGTACCCACAGCTGATGTATATAAGAGCTGTGATTCCCATTTATAAGATCTATCCAGTAGAGACCCTGGGAACCACAGACCCAAGGGAGCCTCCTGGTCCTACCACTATGCTGGAGAGAAACACACCAAAGGAGTGAGTTCCCTGCCATCTCAGCAGTTGTAAGCCAATTGGACAAGTCCAGCATAGTTTATTGAAGGAGCAGTTATTTTCTCCTGGTGTACTGTGTACATGCCAGAGCGATTGAGCTTATAAATGTGTTTTGTTCAGATAATGTTTTAGATTTTCTGTTCCAAATGATGGTAAAAATAGTAACAATGAGATTGTGAGGAGCTGGTTTGATGACAGCAAGCAATAGTTAGAAATAAAAGGCCTAGGCCCTGGCCAGGTAGCTCAGTTGGTTAGAGCATTGTCCGGATACACCAAGGTTATATGGGTTGGATCCCCGGTCAGGACACAAACAAGAATCAACCAATGAATGCATGAATAAATGGAACAACAAATCAGTGAGAAATAGACAATAAAAGTATAAGTGTATAAATAAGAAAATATAGAGATGAATACATGCCATAGAAAATATAATCAGGTAATTTGAGAGAGTGACTGTCCTTGCTTTGTCGGTGTAGTCAGGGATGGTTTCTCTGAAAACGAGACACTTTCTTTCTTTCTTTTTTTTTTTTTAATCCTCACCAGAGGACATTTTACAACATTTTGTTGAGATAGAGTGGGAGGAAGAGAGAGAGAGAAACATCGATGTGAAAGGGACACATCGAGTGGCTGCCACCCACTCGACCCAACCAGGGCCAGGGACAAACTGCAACCGAGGTATATGCCCTTAGCGGGAACCGAACCCGGGTCTCTCCGGACCGCAGGCCGATGATCTAACCGCTGAGCCAAACCGGCCAGGGCTACACTTTCTTTTTTGAAACTTTTTTTTTTTTTTTTGCATTTATCTTCGGATAGAGCGGGAGGGAGAGAGGAAGAGAGAGAGAAACATCGATGTGAGAAAGACACATTGACCAGTTGCCACCCACATGACCTCAACCGTGGCTGGGGACAAACTGAAACCAAGGTACATGCCCCTAGTGGGAACCGAACCCGGGACTCTCTGGTCCACAGGCCAACACTCTAGCCACTGAGCAAAACCTGCCAGGGCTGAAAACAAGACACTTTTTTTTTTTTATCCTCACCCGAGGACAGTTTTCCATTTTTTGTTCAGATAGAGTGGGAAAGAGAGAGAGAGAGAAACATCAACGTGAAAGGGACACATCGAGTGGCTCTCTCTTGCACGACCTAACCAGGGCTGGGGACAAACTGCAGCCAAGGTACGTGCGCTTAGTGGGAACTGAACCCGGGTCTCTCTGGACCGCAGGCAGATGCTCTAACCATGGAGCATAACCAGCCAGGGTAAAAATGAGACACTTTTGCTGAGAGAAATTGGAAAAGCTCCTTAGAGATGTGTCAGCCACTGTTTTTGGATATTGCTTCAACTGTCAGCCTCAGTAGCATTATTTTACACATGAAGGCACACACACCTATAATTTTTTATTTCCTTGGTACTTCTGGTTGGCCTCTTCTGTAGGCTCAAGCCCTAGGGAGTATACTGAATTGCTCTCCTGGCTCCTTTTTCTGGATGATTCTTAAAGCAAATTTGTGTCTGAAGAATTGACACAGAAGTGGTTATGTGACCTGGTCTTCAAGCTTCTAATAGGAAGGTCAACAGAAGGATGGCAAGTAGGGTTACAAGCTGTAGATTCTGCTCTGACAGTATTTCTCTCAGTGGGCTGTACTGGTGGGACTATAAGGATACTCCGGCTCTCTTTCCCTGGCTTTCTTTCTTAGGGTGCTTCTTAGAGGTTTTGGATTCTGTACCTTCAAGGATGCTCTTTTGAACCCAATTGTATTTCCTTGTCACTAGGTTTCAGCTCCAGCACAGGAACAGGAAATGGAATTGGAGGAGATGACAGCTTTGAGTGCAACAGAGGAATCTCCTCCCACCTCACCCCTCTGTGACGGTTCAGCCCCTGGAACCCACATGGAGCCTCCTCGTGACCCAGGGGCCTGCTACCTCCCCAATGGGCACTCGGGTACTCGCCTCTCCAGCTCTGGGGAGCAAGATCACATGGATATTGTTAATGGTGAGCTGGGCTGGTTATGGGATGCTTCATGGAGGAGGAAGCAGTGGGATTGAACAGTGAAAAATCAGGGAGAAATTTAAAGGGTAGAGAAAGGTGGTGGGCACCGAGTAGAGAATATAAGCAGAGACTCGAAATGGTTCATCCTTGAACCCTTTTGAGATGGGGCCAAGGAGGACTGCATTTGAGAGCCTATGGCCTGCTTGTACAAGGCCTTAGAGTTGAGGGTCAGGAGATGATGTGTGTTAGAAACAATAGTTCAGAATGATTACTCTGGTGGATGTCAGTATTGCAGATCGACTGGGTAGACCAGTGGCGGGAGCTTTGGAGGAGGCTAGTGTAGGAGAATAGGTGTGAGGCGGTTATTGCCTGAGCAAGGCTGAGTGGAATGGGAAGTGATAGATGTGACAGGCATTGTGAAGGAAAAATCCATCTGGAAAGGGAGAGGGGGAATTAGAGGGTTTGGACAATGTCTGGATCTGACAGAACTTTAGAAGTCAAGAAAGGAAAATGGTAGGAACATGCCTTTGAGACACAGAACTTAAGGTGTGTGGGACAGCGAATGAAATGCCCGAGCGTCTGGAAGCTTGAGAAGTGGTCTGGGAGAGAGCCGAGAACCGGAGAGCAGCCTGAGAGCAGTGAGGGCTGGTGAGGTCGCTGACGGGGACACAGAGGCTCTGAGGCCTGAGCACCTCAGGGGTCCAGATGAGAGGGCAGGAGGAGGAGAGAAACCAGGGAATGCGGGGCCAGAGATCAGAGCGGGGAAGTCAGTCAAGGCTGGTGCTGGGGAAGCCATGTGGAGAGGAAGTGGTCAGAAGTACAGCTCCCGTAGGAGAGGGTGAAGAGAGCCAGGGCTGGGAGAAGTTTCCAGTTTGATCAGGGACCTTGTACTGCACCCTCCGTGGAGAATTCACACCACACTTAGGATAACGCCCGTGTGGGCGAGGGATGAGAAACTGCGTGGAGCTGCCTGGCCCTCTTGAATGCACTCGGTGGATACAGACCTGATTGGCGCCAAGGGCAGGGCTTGTCCACTCACAGATTTCTTTCCTCCCTCAGCTCGTCGTGCTTCCCCGCTGCCTGCCCTTCCCCAGGTGGGGAACACAGGAGACCAAGGAGTGGCAACTGTGCTTCGGATGGTCAGGCCCCAGGTGAGCTTGTTTTTTCTGTCTTTCCCGAGTTCCTGAGTCCAGGGCCCAGGAATAGCTAGAACTCATCTCCGGGGCACTGACCTTTCTGAGACTGCTCCTGTGGCGTCCCCGTTCTTGCTTCCCCCGATGCTGGGCGCCGCCTGCCGAGTTCGTGGCCTCTCTCTTGCCCTGGACTTGTCCTTTAAGATGTCATCCCAGCTTCTCCCTCCTCCAGCCCTGTGCCCACCAGGGCCCTCACCCTGTGCTCTTGGTGTTCCTGATGACTGCCCTTCAGGGTGGGTGTGTGTCTGAGCAGTAGAAGCTTGTCGTTGCAGGGCTCTGCAGTGTACAGGTGCCTGTCTGTGGACTGCACTGAGGAGTGGAACGGTCCAGCCCTGAGTCAGAGAGCCCTGTACCGCCGCTCCATGCCGGAAACTTACCGCAGCGTGGCCTCCCTGGGTAATGATTCTGTGCCCCGCTAACTTAGCGTCTGCATCCTTCACGTTGTCTTTGTCGTATGCTTTTTCTTTTTTAACTTTTTATTATGAAAAATTGCAACATAGACAAAGCAGAACTGTACAATGAACCTCTCTGTGCCCCTCACCAGCTATAACAGTTATCACCATTGTCTGTACTTCATAAGGGCTTGAGCAGGGGTGGTTTATTTAGAGTTAGTATTTGTAAGGAATAGAGGGCCACTCAAGTTATTGTCAGTAATGAGCTGTGTTACTTACAATAAGACTGAAGGAATGGGAAAGCTGTACAAACTGACTGGCTAGACCAGCCTTCAGGAAGCAGGGTCTTATTGAGACTGGGAAGCCTGGGAGTCTCAGGTCCAAAGGGAAATGAATTTTCACATTATGTTGAATTGAGAACATAACACCACTGCTCCCTGCATATCTCCTCCCACTGATACCCATTGTCTTCTGTGAATTTTTTCTCCCATCATACCTCCTCCTTTTTTTTTTTTTTTTTAATACTTACTGGAGGACATTTTTTTGTTTATCTTCAGACAGAGCGGGAGGGAGAGAGGGAGGAAGAGAGAGAGAGAAACATCAGCGTGAGAGAGGCACATTGACTGGTTGCTACCCACATGACCCCAACCGGGGCCAGGGATAAACTGCAACCGAGGTACGTGCCCTTAGTGGGAACGGAACCCGAGTCTCTCTGATCTGCGGTCCGACGCTCTAACTGCTGAGCCAAACCAGCCAGGGCCATACCTCCTTCTTCGTTATACTTTGAACCCTCATGCTTTCTGCTTGCTGTGGCTCCTAATGGCTTGGCTTTTCCCCATGCATCATTTTAGCTTGAGCTTCTAGTTTATTGTAATTTCCTTCCTTTTGCCCTACTTTGAGTTCAGAGTTTACTTAGAGAGGGACTCCAAGGGTGGTTCAGCTGTTAAATACCATCTCTGGAACAAACTTTGGCCCTGGCCACAGCAGGCTGATGACTAATCTACAGAAAAGCTACACTGGGCTATAGTGCCTGACCCTGGTACAGTCATCTGTGGTGCAGTGTTACCTAGCACAAAGCATGGTTACCTCAAAGCAGGGCAGCTCCTTGAAGGTGCTGTTGTCAGGACAGGTTCTGTGATTGACAAGTGTACTCTGGGGAGGGTGAACTCAGGAGTCAGGGATTCAGAAATCTATAGCTTCCACATTTATTTTATTTTTTTATCCTCACTCGAGGACATTTTTTCATATATTGTTCAGATGGAGTGGGGAAGGAGAGAGAAACATCAACGTGAAAGGGACACATCGAGTGGTTGCCACCCACACAACCCGACCAGGGCCGGGAACAAACTGCAACGGAGGTACGTGCCCTTAGCGGGAACCGAACCCGGATCTCTCTGGACCACAGGCCGATGCTCTAACCACTGAACCAAACTGGCCAGGGCAATATAGCTTCCACATTTAAAGTAGCACAGTGGTTTGTGGGCTTGATTTAGATGTGATTGAAGGGAACCAAAATTTTTGTGTTTAGCTTTCAGTATAATTTTATGACTTTTTCCAGCTTTTGTATTAAAATTTTAGAATTCAGAAGCACATATGCAACTCTTTGCTTTCCTTATGGTTCCAGATTATCAAGATACGAACGTCACATTTTGATTTACATTTCAAATTAATGATGCATTTGTAAATTTTTATAGCAGCGTAGCACTGGTTCCTCACAGTCCAGTGCTCCAGGGTCAAGGGTATCACCAACGTAGAGCTTTGCTCTCTCCTTCAGGACTTTCTCCTAGCATCACTGACCCATGGCTTCTCCAAATCTTGTCACTGTCCTGTCAGGCCAGAATCACCTCTTTTTGAGACTTTTTTCTGATTATACACCCCAAATATATATCTCCCTTCAACTATCATGATTGCCCACACTGTTTCTCATATTTGATCTGAGGTATCTGCCCTCACTCTCTCTCCCAAACATCTTTGCTGAGAATCACGGAACCATGCAATGTCATGGTTGGAAAAGATCTTAGAGTTTATTATTTACTAAGGACACAAAGCATCAGGGTGTCTTCTGGAAGGTCAAACATGCTTTACATCTGGTCTCTTACCTTACAGTTGCCCTGCTCACTTGACTGTGCTGACTCAGCATTCCTCTGTCCTGATGGATCCTCCTCCACCCTCCTCCACTGACCTTCTTCCAGCTCTTTGTCTTTCTGTCCATGAAGAAAAATTTGAGCTATTTCTGACTTCCTCTCTTGTTCTCAATGTGTCACTTCATTCCTTACCTGTAATGTGAATTCTGTTTTAGGTATGTAGACTTCTGATGATTCTGTTTCCTTAATAGGGCAAGAAATGAATCAATGCTTTTTCTTCTTTCTTTTGGCATCAGGTGAGACTCGGATGGAGAATTCGGAGTTGTCTCCAAAGCAAGAGATTTCCAAAGGATCAGAGTCATCTGATGGGACATCAGGAGGCCTCTGTGGGGTGGTTCCTGGGGGACCAGAAGCTGGAAATGCTTTAGGAAAGCTAGAAGCACATCCCTCAGAGGAGGAAGGGAGCAGACTGGAAAGTGATTTCCTGGAAATAACATTTGAGGATAAAAACAAATCCACAAAAGATGGATGTGATGACTATAAGGAACTTGGGGAACATCCGAATCTGTCTTCCAGTCCTGCAGAACGTGAGGATCTGAAGGCACAGAAATTCTATCAATGTGATGACTGTGGCAAAGCTTTTAATCGGAGTTCACACCTCATTGGCCATCAGAGAATCCACACTGGGGAGAAACCCTATGAGTGTAATGAGTGTGGCAAGGCCTTCAGGCAGACCTCTCAGCTCATAGTTCATCTCAGAACCCACACGGGGGAAAAGCCCTATGAATGCAGCAAGTGTGGGAAGACCTATCGGCATAGCTCCCATCTCATTCAACACCAGAGACTCCATAATGGGGAGAAACCATATAAATGTAATGAATGTGGAAAAGCCTTCACTCAGAGTTCTCAACTCATTGACCACCAGAGGACCCATACTGGGGAGAAACCTTATGAATGCAATGAGTGTGGGGAGACCTTCATTCGGAGTAAAAGTCTTGTCCGACACCAGGTACTTCACACTGGTGAGAAACCCTACAAGTGTAACGAGTGTGGGAAAGCTTTCTGTTCTAGTAGAAATCTTATTGATCATCAGAGAATTCACTCTGGGGAGAAGCCTTATGAGTGCAATGAGTGTGGCAAGGCCTTCAGTAGGAATAAATGTCTTATTCGACATCAAAGCCTCCACACTGGGGAAAAACCGTACAAATGTAGGGAGTGTGGGAAAGCCTTCAATCAGAACTCTCAACTTGTTGACCATGAGCGAATTCATACAGGAGAAAAACCTTTTGAATGTAATGAATGTGGTAAGGCATTCAGCCTGAGTAAATGTCTTATTCGACATCAGAGACTTCACACAGGTGAGAAGCCCTATAAATGCAATGAATGTGGAAAATCCTTCAATCAAAATTCACATCTCATTATACACCAGAGAATTCACACTGGAGAGAAACCTTATGAATGTAATGAGTGTGGGAAGGTCTTCAGTTACAGCTCCAGTCTAATGGTACATCAGAGAACCCACACTGGGGAGAAACCCTATAAATGCAACGATTGTGGGAAAGCCTTTAGTGACAGCTCACAGCTCATTGTGCACCAGAGAGTTCACACTGGTGAGAAGCCCTATGAATGTAGTGAGTGTGGGAAAGCCTTCAGTCAGCGTTCCACTTTTAATCACCACCAACGAACTCACACTGGAGAGAAGCACTCAGGTCTGGCTAAGTCAGTTTCATAAAGTCTTAAGTTTCTAAGAAGGAGAGCAAGAAACTTTGAATTAAGCTTTCTTTGTAAGAAGAATTTATCCTGATCCCCTCTTTGAACTAATCAAAGTGGGCCATTTTATAGATGCTGTCTGCTGGGTCATGAGAGTGGAGAGTGGAAGGAAGTATGGACTACACATTTCATGTACTTGTAGGATTTTCCTTCCTTCCTTCCTTCCTTCCTTCCTTCCTTCCTTCCTTCCTTCCTTCCTTCCTTCCTTCCTTCCTTCCTCCCTCCCTCCCTCCCTCCCTCCCTCCCTCCCTCCCTCCCTCTCTCCCTCCCTCCCACCCTCCCTCCCTCCCTTCCATACTTACTTTCTTCCCTCCTTCTCCCTTTTTCTCCCTTCTTCCCTCTCTCTCTCCTCTTTTTCTTTCTCTCCCTCTTTCAAGTCTTTAGAATTGTATCTCATTTCTTAGTTATGTATTGCATAATTATACTGTCCTTTTGAAGGTCAGAGATTGTATCTTCCTTATTCTATTCCACCTCCTCTATTTTATCAAGTCATTCCCAGGACTCCATGCTTTACTTCCTCTTGGCTATAGCTCTTCTTACCTACTTTTTAGGCTTCTACTCTAATCTGGATCCTCATCACTAGTATTCCCTACTCAGAAATCCTTTTCTTTTTCCCATTTGCTAGTCTGTGTCCCTCAGAATCTTCCAGATCGATCTCATCTCTAGATCCTTCCAGAGCCAGCTCATCTATGAAAGACTTTCTTCTTCTTTTTTTTTTTTTATCCTCACCCGAGGACATTTTTCCATTTTTTTGTTCAGGTAGAGTGGGAGGGAAAGAGAGGAACAGAGAGAGAGAGAGAGAAACATCAATGTGAAAGGAACACATCGAGTGGCTGCCACCTGCACGACCGACCAGGGCCGGGGACAAACTGCAACCGAAGTACGTGCCCTTAGCGGGAACCGAACCTGGGTCTCTCTGGACCGCAGGCCGATGCTCTAACCGCTGAGCCAAACCGGCCAGGGCAAGACTTTCTTCTTCAGACGCTTCATTCCTCTTCTTCATTTGATCTCAGTGCTTCAAATTAGTTGGTACTATAATGTGCAACTGTTACTAAAATGCCTTGTACATTATTCTCAACTTAATCCATATATGTATACTGTACATTATACCAACTTATTGTGGGTTCTTTGACATTGGGTATGGTACCTATTTCTTTTAACATATAGATAATAATTTTTATATACTAGTTGTTAATAAATAATTTTTTAAAAAATTACCTCTCCAATTGAACCATCTTTAAATTGGGGCACAATCTACCTACCCCTCTCTCCCACCAGACTAGAAGCTTTTAAGGATGGAAGTGGCATCTCATCATAGGATATTACCTACAAAGACCTCATTGACATCTTCTACATATACCCCTGGAAGTCTCACTTCTGTTACTTCATTGTCAGTTTCTGATACGTATTCTATAATGTGTAGGAAGTTTCTTTCTATTGTTTTTAGAAGAAGCAATGTAGAATTGTAGTTAAGGATACAGATGTTGTGCCTTGAACTGTACGTTGAGTCCTGAATCCACCACTTCCTTAGGTGTGTGATCCTGAGCAAGTCAGTTGGCTTCCTTGTGTCTCAGTACTTGGATCTATAAAGTGAAGCTACCTCACAGGAATGTTAGGATAAAATTGGTTCATATGTGTAAGGCACTTAAAACAGTGCTTGACACATAGTACACACTATGGCAATTATTATACTTAGTTTTTATTAGGGTGGCTGCTAAATTCTATCACATTTTAAAAGAAATATACTGGTGTAATTTTATGGGTCATGATATTGTTTTTTAAATTTTTTGACAAGTTTCCAAATAATTTAAATTTTATTTGCCCTCTTAGTATAAAAAAAATTGTGGTGATTTTTAAAAAAGTTCAGAACTAGATTGACTTTATTAAGGTTTTGCTGACTTTGCAAAGTGTTTTGGAAGAGTTTGCATAATGTGGGGATTATTCTTTGAGGGGTAAAAATAACTGCATCTGATTGATTTTGGTGGGGAGAAAATTGGGAGGGACAAATCTTTAGCAACATTTTGATTTCTTCATGATTGCGCTGTTTAACTTGCCACCCCTTCGCGAATTTTGGTAATATATATCTAGAAATCCTCATTTTACTACACTGTCAAATAGTGACACAAAGTTTTACCTAGTATTCTATAAATTCTTTTACTCTCTTTTGTATATATAGTTAGAGCTCCGTCTTCATACATAATGTTTTACATTGGAGTTTCCTTTTAGTTTTTCTGTCATGATTGCCAAGTTTAATTTATTTTGTTCCTCTTTGAAACTTGTTTTTCTTTTTCCTTTTTTATTTCCCAGTTTTTCTTGAAAGAAAAATTTTTAATATTTTTCCTTTATTGATTTTAGAGAGAGAGGAAGAGAGAGATAGAAATATTTATGAGAGAGAACATCGATTGGCCACCTCCTGCATTCCCCTCACTGGGGATCAGGCCCACAATCTGGGCATGTGCCCTGACCGGGATTGAATTGCTGACCTCGATGTACATGGATTGAGCCACACTGACCAGGCCTTGAATATTTTTTTTTTTCATATATCTTTTTACTTGCCTCAAGTTTTAGAGGCTTTTCATCTCATGTCATTTTTTTTCCACATTAGTCAATTTCAGAGCTTCCCAGTCCTGATATTTGCCCCCCAAATAGGGAAAGTAGAGTTTCTTTGAATTCTTTTAGCATCTTCTTGGTTGCTGTTAAAATTGTCTGTTTAGATCTGGAGCTAGAAGGTGAGTTGTAAATTTACATTACTAATATGTCCTCAGCAGTGAAGAAGTGAAGGAGCAGCTCAGCACTTTGCTAATGTGGTTGGAAACCTACCAGAGCCGGCTTTTTGTGTCTCTCTTTCTTTTTGGCTCAGTCCTCATGCTGTGGGTCCAGAAGAACCTCCTTCCATGTTCTCTCTCAATTCCAAATAGTTTTGTTGTAAAAGAACTGAATGTGGGAAAACCTTCAGTCACAACTCAGGTTTTATTTTACCTCTGCGACTCCAAACTGGGCAATGAATCTATTCTTGAGTTAAGTGTAAAAAAAATATTCAGTTGTAGAAAACATCCACCAGAAAGTTTACGCTTGTAAGAAAAGTTAGTCGTTGTGTGTGGGAATACCTTGGTTATAGTTTATTTCTTGTTTCACATCAGAAAATCCACATAGTTTAGAGTTTCTTGGATTTTGGAGAGCAAGAAATCAATCATGTAGAGCTAGTATTTTTACACGTTTCTGAAAAATATTCCTGAAATAAGTGTGGAAATCTTTTAATTATAGCACATAGTTTCTGTTCCATCTGTGAATCCACAGTGCAGAAAAAGAGTATCAGTAAACAGTATGACCAAACCCCCAAACTATTTTTAAAAATTAGGGTAACAAAATGTGTATGAATGTGAGGAGAGAAAACTAGCATGCAAAATGTTAACAAATGTTGACTCTACCTGAAGCGTATAGGTATGTTAGAAATTTAAAATGAAGTTTGAAAAGGGTAAAAAGGGATTGTGGATGGCTCGTTATAACTCAGTACCTTTGGGAGAAATGCAGTCTGTAGTTTGAGGCAGTGTGGCAGGAGGTAAAAGGACATAGGATCTGTCATCAGAAGACCCAGTCCAAGTCTCAAATCGTCCACTACTAGCTGTGCAACCATAAGCAATTCATTTCTCATACCCAGCTTTTAGTTCCCTGATATAAAAAATAAGGATAATTTTATGTCATAAAATTACTGAGGCTTCAACTAGTTAATGCCAATGAAAGCCTTTGCAACTTGTAATATACATTGCAGCAGTAAGTCCCATTAACTTCTACACTTTTCAAGTATCTTCTCATCTTTTCTTACAGCCTGAGAGACAGAGCCTCAAATAGAATGTGAATTCCCAAAGGGTAGTGTATTACCATCATTTTGACCAATAAAGTAAGACCTAACTACTGGATATTCATTTTATTTACTCAAATATGACTTGGAATTTTTTTTGGCTGGCAGATATGATAAATATTAACATTGTTGAATAGGCAATTGTGAATTCCCAAAATATCCTGATTCTGAACACTGACATCATTCTGGACTGAATGAATAGATTTTTGTCAGGGAAAAAAAATACGCTTCTGGATAAAGGTTACAAGTTGGAGAAGGGGCCCTGGAATTTGAATTTTTGACATATGTCCCAGTTATGCTAAGATTTGAGAATGTCTGGGACTAGAATATTAATGAGTTACTATTACCCCCGTGTGACCAGATGTGGAGTTAGCAGCTTGAATCGGAATTAATGACCCCTTCCCCAAATAAAAGAATAGCTGAAAAGCAAGAGCAAGTATAACTGTCTGAATGTACATGAATATTCTTTACTTTTTTTTTCTTTATTCATTTTTGAGAGAGAGAGAAATATCAATGAGAGAGGTCATTGCTTGGTCACCTCCTGCTTGCCCCCCACTGGGGATCTGGCCCACAACCTGGACATGTGCCCTGACTGGGAACAGAACTGGCGACCTCTTGGTGCATGGGTTGACGCTCAACCACTGAGCCACACAGAGAGGACAATACATGAATATTCTTAAGTATTTCCTGATGTAGTGTCAATAATGTTGAGCTGCTGAGTTCTACTTCCAGCATCAACTCGGGGTATGGACTTGTGTAGATCTTATCATTTCTCTGAATCTCTGTTTCTGCCCTGTAGAAAATATGGCAGAGTTATTGTGCCACCTACATGAACTGATGAATGAGAAAGCTCTCAGTATCTATTACATGTTTGTTGATTGATGAGCTTCAAATTTCAATCCTCAAATGACTTTTATCCTGGCTGCCCAATAGTGTGACATAGTGACACCTAAATATACATCTCTAGCTGCGATTTCTTCACTGAACTCCTAACTCCTATTTAAACTGACATTTCCTCTAGGATGTCTAATTGAAGTCTTTAACTTAACACATCCAAAACAAAGCTATTGATCCCTCTCTCTAAACTCGTTCTTCTTTCTGTCCACTCTATTTCCAAAAGACAAATCTTATTCTAGTTGCTCTGAACAATCTTTGAACACGTGGCAGGAAAAAAGAAAAAAAGGTAAGATCATGTCAGTTCTCTGTCCCAAAACCCTTCCGTGGCATTCGGGATACACCCCAAAGCCCATATGG